TTACAAACTGTAGAATACATAAGCATTCTGTGCATAGTAGAATATATTTGGGTGTCAGATAACCCATCAATATTCCATTCGTAGATATTTCTACCATTATAATCCATTTGTATAAAAGTATTATTTTCTTCAAATAATACATCCGCAAGGGTTGGTCTTTTATAAAAATATCTTTCTAATCTTTTTGGAGCATTTTTAATCTTATTAATTTCTGTAAATTAATTTTCTATAACAAATAATTGTCTATGTCTTATTCTCCAAAAGTGTCATTAGATTCTTCTTTTTCATCCGAAGAACTGTTATCTTCAGACATTATTGTTGATGTAGAGGCTTGATTTAAAGTATGTATTCTAACATTACTAAGCTTCTTAGCTAAGATATCAAAAATTTTTGAAGTAATTTTATCATCTTTTTTAAACACTAATATATCTATTAGTGGTTTTATATTAGTATTTTCTATTTTAGAAATTGGCATTTTATTTTTCTCTAATAATTTTAATGATGGTATTACATCATTCACTTTATTAATTAATTCATCTATAGCATCTTCAATTCTTATTAACTGTTCTCCTATTGTTTGAAGATGTATATTAGTATAATTATATTGTTTAATTATCTTGCTTAATTCTTTCATATGTTCTTCATTGATTTCATTAGGCTTTATAAATGTCATAGATTCAATTGTGGAAGGATAAACTCCTATTAAATAAAGAGGGTCAGTTGGTGGATAAACTGATTTGATAATTTTACCTGTAGTTCTACTGTTTAAAGTGTTCTTCTATTACACTAATTTTATTTTCTTGGGTTTTAGTATAATTTTTATAAACCAATGAATAAAAAATTCAATTTGGTTTTTTAATTTTAATTGATTATAATATTCTTCTTTCCAGTTTAACTGTTCTTGCTTAGAAAATGTTTTGAGAAACCATGTTCTAAAATCTTTATGTTTTTCTTGTTGAAATTTCTGATTCAGAAATTTCCTCATTAGACTGTTTTTCTCTAAATCCATTATTTCATTCTAAAACTAATTTCTAAATTTGAAGGAGAATTTCTCTCTTTATATAAAGCATGAGGAATATTATTTTCATAAATATTTAAACCTTTTACATCACTGGTTCTATAAGATCCAGATCTTGACATAAAATTTCTAGATCAACTGGCAACATCAGATAGTCTGGCTGTTCTTGATGGATTAAAGGGTATTTCTGTTGGCCTTATTATTTTGATGATGTTTAACAAATAATTTACTACTAATGTTATTTGTCTAGTGTTTATGTATTTTTATTTATTATAGACAAACAACAAGTTGGAGGTTGGATGGATTGCGCCATAACGATTATATTAAATGGAGGTTGGCGGATATAGTGGTTAAAGTAACGCAATTCAAAGTTAAAGATTCAAGTTCAAGCTTCATCCGCAAGTGTACCAAGTCAAGCTTATTGAAGATCAAGATTGCTTGGGTAACATTTAGTTTATGTTTTATATTATATGTGTTAGTACTTTAAGCTCAATCATATATACACACACATATTTGGTTTTTATATATATAGTTATATATATACACAAGTTTTGGTTTATGGACTTAACAATCATTGTATACATATTTCATTAAGTCTATAAAATTATTTCATAGGGTTTCAAAACATTATTTATGTTAAAACATCAAATTTCATGTATGCCACATTTTCATGTTTTGGACACACTTGTAAAATACATAAGTTTTCATAAATGGGAAACCCAATTTGAGAAATTCTTTTTCTAACATGTTCAATTTTATGTTTATAAATGTTTCTCAAAGTTTTCTATTTTTTGAAATTTATTTGATATTTTTAAACAGGGTTTTAAAATCAGAAAACTGTTTCAAACCTATCATTTTTATATATTTGTTTGCGGTCAACCGCCACGGTCGACCGCCCCTGAGTCCAGAGACTCAGAAAGTTTTTCAGAGGCTCCCCCCCCCCCCCCCCCGTCGACTGGATGCTCTCGCGGTCGACCGTTACGGTCGACCGGATGGAGTCCAGAGACTTTCCTCTGTTGTTTTGTTGCTCGCGGTCGACCGCGAGTTTTCCACGGTCGACCGCTGATTGCCCAACAGCTATTTTTGGTACAGAATCAGATTTCTGATTCTTTGGGGTTTTTGGTCTTTTGTTTGGGATTTTTGCTGTTAGTTTCTCTTCCTATATAAACCCCTCGATCAAACCCCTTCTACCAGAAATAACCCAATGGAAAGTTTTAGAGAAATTTAAAAGAGTTTTAACAAGGGTTTTAGTTGGGTTTAAAGTTTGTTTGGTTTGTGAAGATTGTTTTATAAGTGGAGAAGATCATCTACATTGATTGAGCCTCATTTTAATCCACCTCTCTATCTTGTTTTTCAGAGAAGAATTTCTAAACTCTATCTCTAGCTATTTATTGTTTTGTTCATAATTTCTATATGCTAGAATTTAATTGAGTTTAGTTGATTGTTTTTCTCATTGCTTACACACACAACCATTGAGCTTATTGTATTTACATTCATAGTATAATTTGGGTTGTGGGATTGTAACATTGAGTGTGAGCCTACATTGAGTTCTCATCTATTATAAAGAACAAACCATTTGTTATATTATGAGATTGTAAGGTTTTCGGTGAGCTAGAAAACCGAGTGTGTTGTTATAAAGTTTTCAGTGAGCTAGAAAATCGAGTGAGAGTGTGAGGTGTGAACGTTGATCGGTGAGTGTTGAAAACCGACATTATGAGGTGTAAACATTATTCGGGTGAGCGTAGAAAATCCGGTTGTGATAGTGGATTTCTCCCCGGGAGTGGGGAGCGGAGACGTAGGATGGAAGGTCCGAACTCCGTGATCATATTGTGTGTTTGAGTTTGCTTTGACACACTTCTCTTATATTTATATTTCTTGTCGTCATTGTCCATTGCTCATTATTTATATCATCCACTATCTTGTTTATTTTGTTTACCCTTGTGTATATCACTTATCCTAGCTCACATATCTTGTTGTATTTTATACTTGCTAGGATAACTTATTAATTAGTTTTAATTGGCATAAAATCGGATTAGATTAGCATAAGACCCTAATCACCTCCCTCTAGGGTCTAACAATTTCTACTTCTCCATCAATAGTTTGAACAATTTGGTCTACCTCTTGATTAATAATCGGTAAAGGTTGAATAGCATTGGGTATTACTTAATTATCTGGAAAGTTTATTTCATCCCATTTAATTTGTCTATTGATAGCAGTATTAGAGGATAAAACATTGGTTTCTACTAAAACAGTTTTTCCTGGTCTAGAATGCATTTTAGCTTTAGGGGCTAAAGTATTTAGTATTTTATAATGTATCCAATATATTATTGCAATTGTTTCGGATCCTTGTATAAAATTATACTAGTGTATTTTAATGTTTATCATAATTTAAGTCTATCATTGACCGATCCAAATATTTTAGAAGCAATAAGCCTAAATATTAAGTATATACTTACACATATATATATATTTCTAATGTATACTATATATATTATAGCATGATATGGTCATTAATGTATACTTATATATAATTACATATAATATATAGATATATATAGATATATACTAATATGTAAGTATATACTAATACATAGTTATATATATATATATATATATATTATTTTTAGCAGAAAATCAAACAATAAGAAAATTCAGGCTAGCCCGGAGCCCGACCTAGTTTGGCCCAGACCCAGATCCGGGCTCGGGCCTAGCCTAAGCACCTCGAGTCCGGGTCCAGGCTAGGAATTTGCTCGGCCCGACCCATTTAGACAGCCCTAAATTTCGAAACTTTTGTATCAAAGCGTTGCAAAAAATCCCGGTCAGTCAAATAAAAGGTAGGACAAATTTTCAAAATAGTCCTATTTGAACATTTAATCTCAAAAACCAACCTATTTGAAATTTATTTGCAAAAACTGACCTGGTTTCAGCCCTGGGGCTGAAACCAGGTCGTTTTTTGTAAAAAAAATTCCCAAACTTCATGGAAGTTGAACTCTCGTGAAGTTTAGCAGCTTATTTGTTAAGCTGCTAAACTTCACGGGAGTTCAACTCCCGTGAAGTTTCATAACTAAAAATACCGACCTTCTCTCCTTCAGATCTCCTTCAGGTCTTGTGCACCTCTCTCCTTCAGCCATATAGCTGTTGGGCTCAAAATCAAAGCTCGCCAAAAATAATAACAACACATTAGAAGAAGAAAAGCACCGATGCAACAAACCAAGTCAGCAGCTTTAGTAACGTCGATGAAGTTGGGATCCGATGGCGAACATGCCTAGGGTTCTGAGCTATGTTCTCCTTATCCATCAGATCACAGATCCTCTTCCGAATCCTCCACTTCCAAGCATTAGGATCGCCGACGACCTCCTCCTCTGAAGCGGCCACCATGGAATCTCGAGCCTCGGCGTCGAGGCGGAGGCTGTCGACCTCGAATGCCGCAGAATCAATGGAGGAGGAGGAGGAGGAGGAGGTTGAGAAAGGAAGTACTGGTAGTGGTGTCGAGGCGGAGGCCATCGAATCTCCGTTCCCTGTTTGGAGTTTTAGTGAGAGAAGAGAGGGCAGGTGAAACCAGGTCGGTGAAGAGAGAAGAGAGAGCAGGTGGCAAGTTTTGTGAGGACTGGAGTAGCGAGCAAGAGAAATCGGATGAGCATGTGTATTTGTAATTTGAAATTTCACGGGACTTGAAGTCCCGTGAAGTTTAGCAACTTAACAAAATAGCTGCTAAACTTCACGTGACTTTAAGTCCCGTGAAGTTTCAGAACTTTTTTTTGTAAAAACCGACCTGGTTTCAGCGTTGAAGCTGAAACTAGATTGGTTTTTACAAATAATTTTGAAAGGGATTGTTTTTTAGGAATAAAATTACAAATAGGATGGTTTTGAAAATTTGTCCAATAGAAGGTAACTTTATGGTAAAAAATTGGAAATAGCGCTTAAAAGATTGAATATATCGAGGTCGTAGGAAAAAAGAAGAGGCGCAAATAATTTCCAAGGCTTGTTTCCTTGCTGTCTCGTCTCTTCCCTTTCATTATTATATGTTCTCCACTTTCTTTCTCATATTCTCTCTCTCCTCTCTCTCTCTCTCTCCATTGATTGCAGGGGGCTGATCAAATATCAATGGGATCAGGCAGCAGCAGGATCGCGTCTCGGCCCCCGCGGCAGCGTCGGACCACGCCCGAGCTCAACTTTGCCACCTGTTCTCTCGGCGCGGCGCCTCCACCTCTGCCGCTCCTCCTCAGGTCCTTAATTTTAACCTTATTTTTTTTAATGTTCGTTTGATTTGTTGAATAAATTTGCGTCTTTGATTCTTGGATGAGCTCGATCTGTGCCTTTGGGCGAAAGTCAAAGAAAGAGTAGCGACGATGGTTAAGGTTGCAAGATTTTAGGTTGATGTTTATTTTCTTTCTTTGAGGGAATTGAGGTTTTTGTGGGGAAAACAGTTGGTAAATTTCTTCACAAAATTATGGTGGTTGAAGGAACCAGATCCCATCTGTGCCTCCAGCAATGATATAAGATTTTCTCTTTAAAAAAAATCTTTTTTTTTTTTTTTTGGGGGGGGGG